CACAATTTTCCACTCGATCTAAAAATCGATCGTACATGGGACTCTTAATCCAATGGCAACTCGCAGTAGTCTAAATAAAAGCAACTTTAACGGCCGTTTTCACTAGCTCTGGTTAACACTAATCGCCAGTCAAACATCGTTGCCGACGTTACCGACACAATGTAATATGCATGGAGTCAGTAACGTATGCAACGATGTTTAACTGGCGATTAGTGTTAACCAGAGTTGGAGAAAACGGCCCTAAGGATGTTCTTTATGCGTAATTTCGTTAAAAGAAATCTAAATATGTTATATAATTATGAGCTTTGCTATCTAAATAAGGTATCTGAAATTAATGTGTATAACCAATGTATTGTTTTAATTGTCGGTACTTTTGATTATAAGTTTAGGGCCTTATTCATAAAAAATGAAGTAGGTTTAAAGAGCTTTATAAATTGACGTTTTCATGTATTTTTGAATTTATAAACCTTTTTTAAAGTTACTTTATTTTTTATGAATAAGGCCATTAATCTTTACTTTTTACAAGTTTTAGGGCTGGTTGCTCAAAGCCTGGTTGACACTAATCCCCGGTTAAACACCGTTATCGACGTTACCGACACCATGTTATTTGAATGGAGTGGAAAACGTCGATAATGATGTTTAACCGGGAAGTAGTGATAACCAGACATTGAACAACCGGCCCTCAGTAAACGGCCATTATTGTACTAATGATTCTGTAATAAATCAAAGGAAATGAAATAGTTTTTCAATAATGTAAGAAAAGAGAAGCGAATTTAGCCAAGACAATTAAATGTCTCTAAAAATGTCCGTTAAAAACATAATTAGCTCAATTACAGTAATTAATTTGAAATTTTGTACAATTTTGCTTGTAACTTATTTCGCTGTGAAATAATGGACTGTATGCATAAAACCTAAGCAAATGCTCTTTCTTAAAATTTCAGACCTTTTTAAGGGCCGGTTACTCAATGTCTGGTTAACACTAATTTCCGGGTAAATATAGTTATCGACGTTACCGACTCCCTGTTATATGCATGGAGTCGAAGACGTCGATAACGATGTTTAACCGCAGATTAGTGTTAACCAGACATTGAGTAACCGGCCCTAAGTCTTTATACATACGGCCCAATAACTGAAAAACCCTATGCAAATCGATAAATCGATGTATTCCCATCGATGGGTCCAAAAATATTGTTGTATTTTTCGATGTACCGAATCAAAGAAATACATCGATTGTGCCACTGACATGCCTAACCAGAGAACGTATTGCATAAAACATAGAATCTACGTTATCTGACCATGGTTGTCAAGTTTTGCATTCGAAAACGTCAATCATGGCAATAGCAAACTTCACGTAAAAACACAGATAAAAGTTACGTTTTTACTACTGGCAAATTTTTCTATCTCGCAAGTACATGTGCCCAAAGTTATATTTATTATTTACGTTACATTAATTGTTTTAATACAAATACATACAATTATACCGTGTAGAAGTAAGATGTCTGTGGATGAGCTGAATGGCTCCGAGCTTGGTACCAAAGAATATTGGGACAACAGCTACGACCGTGAAATTAAAAACTACAAAAATTATGGAGATGTTGGTGAAATTTGGTTTGATGAGGACTCCCAGATTCGCGTCATAAACTGGATAATGAAGCAGGATAATTTATCAACAGATATAAAGATAATTGACATGGGATGTGGCAATGGCATGCTTCTAATTGAATTGGCACGCGAGGGATATACCGACTTGCTTGGCGTAGATTACTCTCCCAATGCTATTGAGTTGGCCAAACAAATTGCCAAAGATCAAGAATTGATCATTCGTTACGAGGTTGCTGATCTGCTAAATAACGAACTTTTTCTGCAACAAATTGACACTCCTTTCGGCATTGTGCATGACAAAGGTACTTATGACGCTATCAGCTTATGCCCGAAAAATCCAAAGGAAAAACGAGAGGCTTATATTCGTACAGTTCATAGTATTATGGATGAAAAAAGTGTTTTTATTATAACATCGTGTAATTGGACTGAAGATGAACTCATAATTAGTTTTGTTGATAAATTTCTCAAGAAATGTACAATTCCCACACCCTCGTTTAAATTTGGAGGCAAAGTTGGAAGTGTAGTCAGCTCCATAGTTTTTACTAAGAAAATAAGCTAATAAAACTTGTCTGAAATAAAATTTGTTAATTAAGAACATCTGATGCAGATACATAAATACTGTCCATGGAATCACGTTTTCTTGCGTTAATATACATATATTCCATGGATAAATCTTTGGCATAAGTTCAGAATAAGGCCCGTTAAGCTGGAACAAGACAAAAAAAAGAGGGCGTGGTCCGCCCTTTTTTCTAATTTACATGGTATACAAATTTTTATGGCAAACATATTTTCGGGGTAATGGTGGGGCGAAGGGGGAATTTTCGAAAATTTAAAATGACCATTATTTTGAAAAATTCCTGACCGAATTTGAAAAAATGGGTATCGTTGGTAAAAATTTTACCAGCAGGAGAGCCCAAAAAATGAGAGCGTGAGAACGAGAGAGAGCTGCTAGTTCCTGCCTTGATAAAAAAAAAGAAGGTAGTTTCCATAAACAACTTGACGGATACTTAGATCTTTGAAGCTTCATAATAACCCTGTTCGCGTACGCACTATCCAGTAAAATCCAGTACTAATTTTACTGGTTTTTACTGGATGTCGTTTTCGTACGTAAAACTTGCAGCAAGGCGAATTAATATAAGGTGATAGATCCCCCACATATGAAGGCACAAAGTGACGGGTCAGTGCATCAAGAGCAACGCCACGTGTTGTAGAGAAATCTTTCGTACCGCACACGGCAGCAATTCTTTGAAGTTTTGCAAGCAGACTTCTCACGCTCTTGATTGAGAATCTGCTCCACCATACCACTGTTCCTCGTCAGATTTCCACTATAATTTTGTATCCAGTGTTACTTATAGATACTTCACTTCCGGAGAATTCTGAATTGTGACTCCTTTCATTGTAAGCGCAATGAGACCATTCAACCTTCTCCGAATCCTGGTTTCGGACTATGCTTTAATGACGAAATAACTAACATTACATCTTCTTCGGACTATTTAACAAAAAAAAAAAAGAGTTTTGTTATATAAATTTATTTATTTTGTTTGAAATAAAATGAAAAACCGGTTTTTAACAAATAAATGTTTCAAAACTAGATTTTATTTTATTTCTTCATCTCTGTACATCGAATAATTCAAAGTATCTTTTAAACGCTTGAGAAAAACGCTCAAATTTGATTATCGAACACATCAACTTACTATTGTTTGTATGTAAATTTTACTCCCAAATATTTAAAAGAAAATCTCTCCTATCAAAAAATTTAATGTGGCAAAGCTATGCTTAATGTTTACTTTTAGAGAAATGTCAAAAATCTGCTTTATAATCAAGAAATAGTAGTAATGAAACTACTCCTTTTTTGTATCAAATTACGGTTGTTGCTCCCTTTCGTACCACAGTAATTTTGCATGCAACTCTGAATCAGCAAAATTGATGCTCCTCATTATCAACCCTGATCACATTTTACCCCGAGGACATGATTCAATAATACAAGGTTAGATAATTATTGACAGCAGCGGTTTGACTCACCCTTCCAAAAGGTTGCATTTGCAAAGGACAAAGAAAGGGGAAGAATGAAATCTCTTGGTGCGAAAATGGTAGTAGAAAAGTACGCAAAGTAGGCAATTAGTAGTGAAACTCCTTTTGTAAATTCTAATGTATTTGCAGAAAATCTGGCATATTGAACGTAATATTGATATATCTACGTAAATTATGTAATTTATGTGCTATTTAGCTGTATAAAAACTGCAAAAGAACTCAAAATTAAAATAAAACTACTATGAGATTTATATAAACATCCAATTTAAAAATAATTTATGTTTTCATCAGTTAATATATATATATATTGTAATATTAATTATTATCTGTACTTTTTATTTTATTTCTTGCAATTTGTTTGTATCATTGTGCAAGTAAAGATTACATCTTAATGCACTAATGTTTTCAATATAATATTAAATTAAATTAAATTAAATAAATTAAATTAAATATGCTTCATATGCATATACAAATAAATATATTGCACAAAAGCTTATACGTGTATTTCACTCCAAAGGTACACTTTTTCCAAGTAAATTTGCAAAGAAGCAACAAGGTGCCAATGCTAAGGGAGCGGTGAGAGAGACAACTGTCAGTTTATCCCCCGAGGAGTATTCAAAAAGTTTTATTAAGACGGAAACTTTTGTCGACGCGATTTTTCACATTCCCTTTTGGTGTTGCTCATTTCATTTACCCACGGTGATTTGTGTGTATGCAATTGTTGTTGTCAGCTGTGAACAGCGGTTCAATTTACACAGACGAACGAGAGTACAAAGCGTATTGCCCGAGCACGAGCAACTCGATGCCCCTCTCCTTTCCTCGTCACGCTCTCTCCTACAAACGTCGAGTTGCGGCACCAAAAATCGCCTTGTCTAAATGAGCACTAAATGCTTATATCAAGATATAAAAAGCCCACGCAAATATATAACTTAGACTGCTTTTACACAGTTCAAGTATTGAATTCAATTCTGCTCGCTTGAGGAAGAGAGGGGGTGAGAAGAAAAGGGACGAGTACACATGCGTCTGCACCGTCAAGTCGTTTCAACTTTCTTGCTTTGATTTTGACATTTTCGTTGCTTCCCATTTGAAGAACCAAAAACTTGAATTCAACAGAATTGAAACTTGTAAAAGCAAATAGAAAGCACAAAAGAGAATGAGCAAGAATTGCTTTCAAGTACTTGAATCATGT